TATATTCTATATTATATATATATATATATTACATATCAACATATTATATGTAATATACTATATATTTTACATTGAGAATTTATATGTTATTTATTATATACTATTTATCATGTCTTCTATGTTATTTTATATAGACTACATATTAAACATTTTTTATATACTGCACATTATATATTATTTGTGATATGTTGTATATTTTATACTGTGCATTTTATATTGTATATCTTGTGTTGCAAAATACGTATTATGCATTATATTTGATACATGATATATTATATATTACATATTACAGATTAAATATATATTGTCTATTATGTATATGTATATATATATATACGGCGATGATTTTTAAATACCCGGACATCTAAACAAGTTAAACAGGTGTGTCATACTACTTCCGTGGGCATTGTCTCTGGGCCGCCCAATTTTAAAACACACGGAAAGACAACAACACGAGACTCCAGCCCGCAGACTCCGTCCTCCAACCTTCGCCTCTCCAGCCCTCTTCCCAGCCCTTCAGCCCTCCAGCCTTCCAGCCTTCCAACCCCTCCTGCCATCCAGCCAGCCTTCCAACCTTCCAGCCTTCCAGCAGCCTTCCAGTTTCAGCCCCTCCAGCCCCTCCAGCCTTCCACCCTTCCAGCCTTCCAGCGCCTCCATCCACCCTTCCAACCTTCCAACCTTCTAGCCTTCCAGCCCTCCATGGAAGGCTGGAAGGCTGGAGGGCTGGAAGGCTGGAAGGCTGGAAGGCTGGAGGGCTGAAAGCTGCAAGGCTGGAAGGCTGGAAGGCTGGAAGGCTGGAAGGCTGGAAGGCTGGAAGGCTGGAGGGCTGGAGGGCTGGAAGGCTGGAAGGCTGGAAGGCTGGAAGACTGGAAGGCTGGAAGGCTGAAGGGCTGGAGGGCTGAAGGCTGGAAGGCTGGAAGGCTGGAAGGCTGGAAGGCTGGAAGGCTGGAAGGCTGGAAGGCTGGAGGGCTGGAGGGCTGGAAGGCTGGAAGGCTGGAAGGTTGGAAGGCTGGAAGGCTGGAGGCTGGGAAGGCTGGAGGGCTGGAAGGCTGGAAGTAAACACCCGGAGCTAAAACATACGGATTAAAACAGGTGTCTCATACTACCTCTGTTTGGATCTTGGGTTGCCCGCCCCCCACATGTTTTAAAATTCTCACCGTATATATATATATATATATATATATATATATATATATTTATTTATTTATTTATTTATTATCTTATATATTATATATTACTTCTATATTGGAAGCAAGCATCTGCTTGTGCGAAAAATACACCCCTCCTAGGGGAAAAACATTACTTTCATGCGAAAGTGCACCGCGCCTGGGAAAAACTGCATTTTCAGCCAAAAAATGCACCCCGCCGAGGGAAAACTAGGATTTCTTAAAAATTAGCACCGCGCCTAGGAGTTGCAGATTCGGGCAAACTGACTACAGTCATTCGTGACTCCCGGTTTTCCGTTTCAAAGATCAAAACAATCGGGTGCATGTGCTGGCATGTACCAAAACCCTGGAAGGGTCTCCATTTTCAGCCGTTGAGCCACCTGTCATTTGTGACTCCCTGGTCGGCTGTTGGACAACAAGGTTCGTGAAGACAAACGTTCAAGAACGTCCCAAGAGCCTAGGGAGTCACAAATGACCAGTATGCCAAACATGATGAGGGAATGGCCTGTTAGTAATGCCTGGAGTGCTAGCAGCTATTTTCCTTAAAACAGCTGCGAAGTCTTCCTTGCCTTGTTTTTTCGGATCTGCCAGCGCTGGTCTTGGGCAAAATGACGTGCAAATCGCATGCTCCGATGACAGGAGCCCGCGCAGATTATGGCTCAGATACGGTGAGCACGAACTCTGAGGTTGAATGATTTGGGAATTCGTTGGCTGACGGCATTCCGGCTTCAAGGATTGTGAGGTTGTGTGTTTGGCAGTCTGAAGTCGTCGAGGAGTATCGCAGGGTTTGAGTGCCGTCACAGACCGTCAATTAATCGGCGTGTGTAGCACCGAATTCGTGAGACCGTGGACATCGAACACGACACCTCTCCCGCGGTGTTGGCGTCCTGGGATGTGCTCTAGGGCGGCCTACAAGCATTGAAACGGGTATTGAAACCTTCACAAACAATCCCAAAAAACCTTGCAGCAGTCTTCCGAAAACCAAACAAACCCTAAGTCCAGCATCTATGTCGGAGACCGTGCCCTGAGGCCCTAGTCACAGTCCAACAGCTGTCGGGAGCTCCGTCTCGCCCTCCACGAAGTCCAGGATGCAGACCAGCGCACGGTGTTCCAGGCCTTTGTGGACCTGGAGATGAGCAGACCCAAACAGGCGCCACAATTTTCTCTCAAAGTCTCAAAGGGGGAGCGCGACCAGACAACGAAGGATATCAACACAAGCACTCGAGAGTTACCACAACCCCTACACAATTCAATCTTGAACTGCAGGCCGGTTCACGGCACAATGGTGCAGGAAAAGAAACTGTGCAACCGCCTGCTCTCTTCGGTCGAGCCGGCGTCTGAGCAGTCCCGAAAACTGACGAAAAGAGCTGGTGCCCTCTCGCTTGCGGGTGAGATCCTGTAACCTTGGCTGCTCTGTCACTGACTGAGGCCCGTCGCTTACACCTTGAAGCGCGACAGTCTCAAGACGATCCGAGCAACACTTGCAAGGCGTAGGGGGAAGCACCCACCAGAAGCCTTTCCTGTCTAAGAATCTCGCGTGCTCGTGGTACATGCTGTCGGAAGCCAGAGTCGAAGAAGCGCAATAGCAGGCGGACACCAATGCCTTCTGTAACATTGCAGCCGGCGCCGAAGCATATAGCTTTGGAAAGTGACACGTCGCCCGCGCAGCTCCGTGCCACCCCAACGACGGAAAAGCTGCAAAATATCGATATCAGAACTTGAGCATCATCCAAAAGAGGAGTCAATACCATGAAGAAACCAAGCGCATTGAAAACCAGTGTCTGTGCCACAGCTTGTGGAGATGCCAAGAGCAGCACCGGCATCATGTGCATGGCAAATATCCCGTATACTTGCGTCTTCATCAGCTTGTTACTGCTACGAGGGTCCTCAAACATGTCGAACGCGATGTCAGAAAGACCTCACACAATTATGCAAGGGTTGGTGTCAACCTTTTTACAGCTGAACATACATCCATTGCCACCGAAGCTTAGGTTTGATAGTTTCATCTCAACATGCTCTGCCGGCATGTTCGTGTCACATCGTCATTTCGGTAGCTCGCTGCCGATGCTTCTTGATGTCGACCCTCTGCTAGCTGGTGCGTCAGGATTCAACGCTGAGCCTTTCCGTCATCCCCAGCACACGTACGTCAGCAGGCAAGCAAGCAAGCAGGATATTGGTCTTCTTGCTCAATACACTGGCTGGCATCCCACCCAACACACCCATTTGCTTAACAACCGGTTCGTGCCAAACCGCCCAGGTGCCAAGCCGAGCCCCGCCAAACTCTGCACGGAAAAGAGCACGCTTACCAGCAACGGCCAAATATGGCCAGCGGCTTTTTGGGGCTTGAGAGCATGTCAGCAGCGCAACGAAACTTACCCAATAACAAAGAGTGCGAGAGACGGCTAAGGACTAGTTACTCATGCTATACTCCTCCGCTGCTTTGTGTTGGTGATCTTCTCCAACAGGACATGGTGACTGGCACTCTAAGGTCCCGACAAGAGCAAGGTGCTCAACAATGCCAAAACCGTGCACAAATGAAGCTTCCGGGGCATTTTCCCCGGGCCGGGTTGGAAGTTCGTGAAACTTGTTGCCTGTCCGTCCTTGGTCGAGGAAAGTATGTGGGTGGTTGTCAAAATTCGGGCCCCTTTTGGGTACCCTAAATATTAGGTGCCGACCCAAAATAAGGACCCAAAAAGGGACCGGAATTTTGACAACCACCCATGTGGTTACGGGGCGACTATTCCCACGTTGTAAGAAGGGCAGCAGAGAAAAACAGTGAGCAACAGCAAAGAACGGATGCTGGTGTCAGTAGCATCACATTGACATGGCTCCTCTAGTGACAGGCGTGTTGAGGCCGCCCCAGTATGTCACACGAGCAGCAACAAGTAACAAACTTTGGAGACTTTGGAACCGCCACGGCTCTCTGGCTCTCTTTGCCGTTGCAATGTGCCTGTGCTGGTTTGTCGTTCGAGCCTGGTGGACACCACTATTTACAGCCTCCCGGCTAGGTGGCTGCAGCGACATTGAAAGCTTCAGCACTTGAATACATGAGCCTTGCACAGTTTCAGCACTCAGCCAAGGACTGGCCAGCCGAGGTACCACAAGCAGGTACGATGTAGGAAGCAGGGTCATTAGGGACTGCGGGGCTGGTTCTTCTTGGCATGTTTTTCCTTTCGGGGAAAGGCGTAGATGCCAGGAAGCTGTCAGGCAATGGTCTCGAGAAAAGCATGGGGATCAAAAGCACTCCGACACATAATCATGAGACCAGCTGCTGTCCCTGGACAGGTAGGCCGCCACCATCCCGAAGGGAATCAGGATGAGGCAGATCGCGACGCTGGGCCAAAACAACTCTGTGTTGGTATCCTGCCTTGATGGGTTGTAAGATCCCCGAACTGTGACGGATATAAAACAGCTAGGAGTCCAACTCTTGAAAGCCAAAGCATGCCAAAGCCCTCCAATCAAGCCCCTCAGACCAGGTTGCAGCCATTCCACTGCAACGTAGATTTTCAGTGTCCCCACGACAGTCTGGTAAGGATAATACAATAATCTCGCTGTGTGCCGTGCCCCGGCAGACACCGGCTCCCAGGCCACTTGCTTGGGTTCCTGCGGTGTCGAGGGGCTCCGACACAGAGGAGAACGCGAGGGGCTCCGACACAGAGGAGAACGCGAGGGGCTCCGACACAGAGGAGAACGCGTCTCCGCCATACATCTACAGAGGCTCACTCACGCTTGTGGCCACTGCTTGAACCCTTTTTCGAACTAATCTTCTGCTCTGAGCCAGTGCCTCGCGTGACTCGCCATCGGCCATAAGGCGCCAAGCAGAGCAATTCTCAGGCCGCAGCTTATGTGGGTCTTCTCCATGGACTGAGGTTCACATCTGCTTCACTTTGAAAATGCTCTTAACGATGGTTGGAAGCCAAAGAATGCCCTTCGTCACGATGCCTGAGTCAATCCGAAATCGCAGAGCTTGGCATTTAGCTCGAAATCCATGACGACGTTCATGCGTAGTCTTAGTAGTAGTAGTAGTAGTAGTAGTAGTAGTAGTAGTAGTAGTAGTAGTAGTAGTAGTAGTAGTAGTAGTAGTAGTAGTAGTAGTAGTAGTACTGAAACATGACTTGTAATCTCCATTCTAGTGCCTTTTTGGATTACCTTACAGGGTCCTGAATATACAAGTTCCTAAACCACAGAAGAACACCCAAACCTCGAGTTTTCGCAGTTCCGGGGCCGCCTTCTCCTCACTCTCCACCGGCCACAAATTGCTTCGGTTGGGAGGAGGCGCCCAGTCCTGTTAATTGGGGATTCGGATTCCAAACTTTCGGTGCTCACGGCGCGACAGGAGGAGCAGTCTCCTACGAATAGTCGATAGGCTTAAAATGGTTACTGTAAAGGACTTTGCGAATTGTCGTTGGCCCTCGTTTTCGGAAACGCCGATTTTGGGCTCGGGCTCGGGCTTGAAGGTCTACTGCTTCGGCCTACACCCAGAGAGAGACACGCCAGATGCAACCAATTCCGAAGGATCAGCATGTACCGGGTTTGAGTCAGAGGTGGCCTTTAGGCTTAGTGATTAGGGAGATTGGCGGGGATCTGGGGGCATATATTAGAAGCGGCCTTCCCAGAATCTAAACCAGTGTAACCTCAGCACGGAATCTGCTTGGCACTCAGGCTGGGAATTTAAGAACTGGAGGGCTTGACACAAATGCTCCTCCATCAAAGAGGTAAGCAGGCGCGCTTGCTGATGAAGCCCTGGCACGGAGCAAGGAAAGGGCTGATCCTGCAGGGGTTTAGGTGTTCTGTTGGCAAGGGTCTTGCTGTCTTAGGGTTGGGCGTCTCATGTTTTGGGTCGGAGCTACATCTACGAGAAATCCTAGGGTCATGACAATCATCCCATAAAAGCCTGAACGGCCGTAAGAAGGATGTCAGAGTATTAGAGCACAACAGTTACATAGGGACTCAAAAGGGAGATTACTACAAATCATTCAGACCTCTTCTGTTATCTTGCTTAGCACCTCATTCAAAGCCTACTCATCGAGTTTCTTGCCAAGCCCGAATTAGACCTTAAGGGCTTCGACTCACACGCTCGCAAGAAGCAGGCACGGATTCCAGCAAGACAGTCTGTAGAGAGGGTGTATGGGACCCGAAACAATCTGCCGTGGACTGCCCCTGCCGTGCATCAGACGCAACTTTGCTCGTTAAGCGCAAACGCTTCATGAAAAAAACTCCTTGCACTAACCAGGGCGATAGCAAGGATCCCTCAAACAGAAGGGCATCTTTCATGAGGAGTCTACTACGTTGGGCTGGATAGATTTAAAGCTGGTGTCTAAAGTAAACTTCCTGGCCGAGGGTTTCAAATTCAGGTCAATGTGTTTCTTAGGTCTTGTAGCTTTACGAGTTTGGGGGTTCATGGGCTTAGAGCTTTAGGATTGTAGGCTTTAGGGCTTATAGTGTTAGGGTGTAGCGTGTAGAGTTCTGAGCTCATAGGTTCCTACCGCACTTGCTGCCCAGGTCTGGGTGGTTTGCGGCGAATACAATATGTCGGCCCACAGGACTAAACTAACCGACTCACCCCAAGGTGCGAAAGACCAAAAACTAAACGGCCTGAACTGAACCCGAAAACTCGCAAATCTCAAAGCCTCAAACAAAGTTGAGTAAGGGCCTAAGGCCGCAGGAAAGAGAAAGACGTCGTCATCGACGCGCCCTCTTAATCCTGGGGTGTTTGTTCATCGGATTTGATGACGGCTGTATCGGGCTCCATTTTAAACCCGCGATGAATACACCCTTTTCTTGCAAGGTGAAGCTTAGGACCTGACTGCAACCCTGATTCAGGCAAGGGATTTGCTGATCAGGGTACATTAAACGGATTTTTGCTGGCTTGTCGTGCCTATCGGCTTGGTAGAAATTCTGAAGGGGTTGCGGCACCCATGTTTGCGAGGCATTGCTTTGCAGGTTTAGCATAATTAGAAGGCTTTTAGGTTTGCAGGGTTTCATGCTCTTGTTGCCTAGATCGGGGCTGTGAGTCTGCGAGTTTGAGTGTTAGGATGTTGCGGGCCGGGACCTATATCTTCCTGCCCTACCGACTGTAGAACCCGCCAACGGGGAGACCCATTCCTGCGCCTGCTAGCTAACGCGAGGAGCTTGGTTAAAGTCCTGAATGAACGCCGGGGTCCTCCTCTTGACCCAGGGTTCCATGTTTTGCATGCAACCTACAGGTGGCCACGCAACAAGATTTCAATAACAACAAACCGGTTGCTGTAATTGGCTATCGGGCTTCGCCATGCCTGAGAAAGCTGTGTTACAACAAGCATTATGTACGCCCGTACACTCCCCACTAGGCCACTTCGGGTCGGCGACACGCCCCTACGATGATTGACGATCAGCATGGGGTTGCTCTTCATATCGTCTTGAGCGGAATCAGTGCGGGGGAAACCAATGGTCGACATGCAGGTTATTGTCCATGCTCCATCTCTGCCGGCTCGGGATCGGCCTGGCGCCCTTCACACGACATGCGGCCAAGGGGAATTTGCGGATGCCCAAACCCCGTGAGCATGTGGAGACTGCTTCAATGAGCCATCTTTGCTTCGTAACCAGGCACGGTGGCAATCTATGCCATCCATGAACGGGAGAACGTACACAATTGCTGGGAATTGACTTCCGATTGCAGGATGAGGTTCCACTGCCCCCTCTCCACCTAAACTCTAAATAAACTCCAACAGCTCCCACACTTCTCAACTCCAAAACTTAAACGCTCAAACCTTATTACAGGTACCACAACCTCCGAAACCCTAAATCCTAAACCCCAATCCAAGAGCGCCAAGGCCCAGACCCAATGCTAAAACCCCGAAAACCCTCAACTCTAAAGCCCTAAACCTCAAAGCAGCAAAACCCCAAAACCACGTAATTTAGACACTCTTCAGACCTCAATCCCGGAGCTGCATCGAAGCGGCGGTAGGCGTCCCGACCGCCCTCCACGCGGACGCAGCGCGCGTCCGCCTCCGGATCCACGAGAAGCTCTTGGACCCAGTCCTCCAGGAAAGGGTTCAGGGTTTAAGGCTTTTGTTAGGGTTTTGGATTTAAGCTTTAAGGCAATAAGGTTACGGTGTAGCTAAATTAAAGAAGGAGCCCAGGCCTAATTATTGAAAGTGCTGTGGGAGTTTGGGGCTGAGGCTTCGGAGTTACAGCAAGGGGTTTGGGGTTCCTGGATTTCGGATCGAAGGGAAAGGCTTTGCAGCGTTGGGATTTGAGAGCTCAAGGGGAAACCGTGAAGTCTTTGTAATAGCTATCCCAGTACAGTCCCGAGAACTAGGCGTGCATGACGCCAGAAAACCGATTCTATTTATCAAGGCCTTACAAAAGCCTTTGTGAGTTTAAGGCCCCTCCAACCCCACAAAAGCTTGTGAAACCCCCCATATTTTTATATAAAAGCCCGAGACGAATCTAAAGCCCTTGAAAACGCCTGCCAAAACACCTCTAAACCCCGTAAGACAACAATGGTCCTCTTCAGAAAGAGGTGCCCGGAGCAGGGAATCGTAGTCGCCTCAATTCTTCACGGCTTTAGGCTGCACCCAAAAGCCTCATAGGGCTTGAGCCCTAAGTTTCGGGCATAGGCTTCTCCCGGTGTTCATTGAAATAAACGCAAGAACTCAGAAGCCCCCATAATCCTAGGCCGCAGTATTAAGCTCACACACCTCTCCCGCCCAACCTAAGTACCGGGCACACTCAACTGTCTGGATGTTGCCTCTCGCCTCTCGGACCATAAAAAGCCCTAAAGGCAGAACCCTGGGTCCGCAAAAGCCTAAAATCTCCAAGCGGCAAACTTGGGCAGTAACAGTCTATAATAGGGCTACTATTAGGGCCTTATATATCTAAATACAGAATATTATCCAACTGTTACTGAGTGGGGGCCGTACCCAACGGGACCAGCAAATAAGCTTGTAGAAAACGACATCCAGGCGACGAACCGCCCGCCACTTGGACTCCACTTGGCGGTAGAGATCTTCTTGTCGCTCATCGTCAAGCTCCGGCTGCCGGTAGCCATCGGATGCCATTCGGGATTAAATCCAGAAACTCGAAAATCACGTCATGATGCTAGGATTCAGTCACCGCTAATTAAACTCTTTTGAGCTCTGAACCCTGAACTAAAGCCTCCCTGACTCCTAAACCCTGCAAGCCCTGGGGCCCATGGCTAAACGCAATTTTCCACCCCGAAACTCAAGACACATAACCCTGAACTCTGACCCCTCAAGCCTTTTTCAAGAACCCATCACTCCTGTGTCCAGAATACGCCATAAACCCAAGACTTTAAATCCTAAACCAATTATTGTCTGCCGGACCCAAAACACAAAACTCCAGACCCAAAGGATTTAGGGTTTAGGTTTAAAGCTTTGGGGGTTTGGGGTTCCGGCTTAGGATTTAAGGCTTTAGGCCTGGAGCCTTTAGGTTTATGCTTCGGATTTCGGGCTCAGTTTTAGGCTTCAGGCTGCCCAACCTCCAATGCTGCGAGCCAAGTGCAGCATCGGAACGAACCATCAGTTGCAACAGCTGGCTCTTGGGCTGTCAAGGCGCGAGTGGGGCTTCCTCCCGGAGTTTTCCTAGAAGGGATCCTACTTGAATTCCATGCAGTAGAGTTCTACCCCAAACCTTTGGGTAAATCATTGTGGCCCCGGGTAAGCCCTAAGAGCCGTCTTTCTTCAAGGCTACCGCGCGTCCGAGTCGGACTCCAGCCCGCGGTCGCTGCTTGCGGCCACATCGCTGCTGGCTGCGTCATTGCTGGTCGGAGGCGTCGCGGTGCTGCCAACCTCGAAGCATAGAAGTTTGGCGGTTTTGGTTTCGTGAATCTCATATGGAGTTTAGGAACTTCAGGGTCTGAACTTGGGAGTTTGGGACTTTAGGCTTGAGGATTTGGGGTTTCTTTGTGGCTCTCGAACTTGAAGTTTCTGATCCCCAATCCTGCGATTGTGAGCCCTACCGCATTCCCAAATCCTGAACCCGAATCGCCGAAGCTCTGAACTGCAAAGCAAGCCCCGAAACCCGGACACTCGAAAGCCTGATGGAAGACATGACACCCTAAACTTGGGCAGTGCTACAGCCATCTGGCGGTCTTTGCTCAAAAGGAGCCTGCAAGAAGAACCGACCTTGTCTTCCGGCTTCCCTTGTGTCAATGTCTAGAGAGTCCAGGGTTTAGGGTTTGGGGGGTCTATCGCTGTGGCCTCACTGGAGTCCTTCCGGCAAGCCGAGAGGGGCGCCTTCGGTTTTGGTGGCCTGTTCGCGTCTTCTTTTAAGAGTCCTCTAAGATCCTTCGGGTGTTCATACCGGTTTAGGGTTCAGGGTTTAGGGTGTAGGACTGAGGGTTTCGGCGTGGGGGTTGGGGGGCTTTGGGTTTTGGGTCTGGGGCCGGGGGGTTGTTAGGGTACGTATTGGAGTTCGGGAAGGTTTGGGTCCGCTTGGGGATTTTGAAAGTCTCTGATCAGCACGCAACGGAGGTTGCAAGTTGAGTATTCTCTGCGTTCCTAGTTCGTGCTCGTCGAGGGTGAAGGTTCGGGGACACAACGTACGCGTAGCTTTGGTCTACGTCTAGTCGGGCTTGACATCAGGCGGTGTTTAAGCTTGCTAGGAGCCTGAGAAGCATTTCTTAACTGACGAGCATTGGTCCTTCTGTGTTTTCGAGTTCCGAATCGCGCATCCCCTGACCGATATTTTGAAGCCTCAACTCCTTTTTCAACCCGGACCTCAACCCTGACACAAATTCCTAGTCTCTGAACCTCAAATTCTCGAACGAATTAAGTATCCATCTCAAACCGCTTACGAAAGTCTAGAAAGTACAGTTCTTAGAGTCTCAGAGATTCCTCGTTTTGGGAGCCATAATCCCACACCCAACATCCAAAAAAAAACAGCATGTAAAGATCCTAAACCCTAAAATCCTAAAACCATCCAACCCTGAACCCTACATGTCCATGCAACACCTCGAGCCACAAAAGATAACCTGGACCCTGAAGTCCTTTTCGTCCTACAACCTGAACCACAACCACCTTCTTAATCCTGCAGCAAAGTTAAAGATACACCCAAAAGCCAAAGAACCATACCCATGAACCCAAAAAAGCATGAAACCCTTGACACAGACAATGGAATTGTTGCAGAGAACCCTGAAGCACTATGACGCTAAACCCCAGAATCCTAACCTTCAAAGACGATAATACTAAACCCTCCTATAACTCTATAACTCTATAACCAAAAACCCCTGAACCTACACCTCAACAAACAAACTCTGGGCTTCGGATGTTGGAAGATGGCCTGCGGCCCTTCCCGAGCTCCTGATGCAGATCCGGGCTGTGGCGGGTTGAGGTGATCCTTGTAGTTTAGGGTGTAGGTGGTTGAGGGCTTTAGGGGTTTACGGCTGTAGGGTTTTAGGGTTTAGGGTTTGGGGTTTCGGGTCTAAGGTTCTTGGGGGTTTAAGGCTTTGGGCTTCGGGGGGTTTAGCGTGGCGTTGTTCATGATGGGAGGCTTCTTCACTCTAGCAGCTCGTCGTTATAGCGAGTGGTCCTTGTAATGAAGACCCGATTATTCAGACCGTGCATGTCCTCTTAGGAATTTAGCTTCTTGGACTCGGTCCTCTCCGGCTGCTGAGTGCGAGGCTTTGGTGATGAACGGTGCTCGAGATGATGGTCCCCTTGATGGCCCTTGCTGTCGCAAACTCCACATGCTCCTTAGAAAGAGCCCTCACGTGCAACAACCCACGCGAACCCCAACAAAGAAGCCCGCAAAACTATCCAACACTAAACAATCCAGAAACGAATGGAAGCCCTCTGCAGCCCTTTCCCCCAAAACCCTTGACAAGCACGAGCCCCCTGTTCAGGCTGTCCTGCAGTGCCGGGTTGGCTGAAGCAGGCCTGGCCAGATGCAATTTTAAGCAGACTCCAAGGCCCGTAGACCAAGCGGTATCCTCTATACCTCAGGTTATCAAGCGCGCTTCATTCAGTTCTAAAGTACATACCTTGTCACATTAAAAAAGATGCTTCATTACGCAGTAAATTCAGGGAGCTTGGAGTCACTGGGTACCTAGCCCTCCCAACTAAGTAACTAAATCCCTTGCATCAAGGGTCCAAAACCTTTTACTTCCGTCGTCAGAGACCTCAAGGTTTAGGGTCTGCAGGGTTTTGAGTTTGTGGATATGACTTGGGACCACAGGACCCACAACAAGTGTGGCGTTCCACCTGTGGTAAGTGCAAACCCTATGTGGGATTTGAGTCCTCACCCCCTTTTGGGGTTCATGTGGTCCTTAAGGTTTAAGCCCGAAACTCCGGATTCATACACCCATACCCCGACAGCTGCCATAGTGCTCGTCATGCCGAAACTGTCGGAATTGCGCACTGCACCCAAGACGGTGTAGAGTTTTGGGTTAGGGTTTGCAGTTTGGGGTTTAGGTACTAAAGTCTAGACCTTCGGCCCTAACAGCTGCAGCCTTTATCTTTGGCTGCGGGAGTTTACCAATAAGGGGATCCGACTTTGAACCGTGAGTAACAAGATCCGTTTACCCTAACAGCCCCGTAAATCTTCAGTTGCAACTTTATGGAAACTTGGAAACCCTACAAGACCCACCAAACTCTAGCAAAACGCCCTTATAATCCCCTCACTTTAAACCCCCAAACCCCGCCAGAGGCCCTTTAACAAGGTACCCCTAAGACACCGTCGAAGGCCCTAGCCGTAGCCTTGGCGTTGCTTTGGCCGCGGGCGGAATCGGCGTTGCCTCTGCAGATCCCCTACCCGAGACAAAACCAAAGACGACTGGAAAAACCGGAGCTGACGATGACGACTACTGCTGCTGCTGCTGCTGCTGCTGCTGCTACCGGCTACCGGCTACCGGCTACCCGCTACCCGCTACCCGCTACCCGCTACCCGCTTCCGGCTACCTGCTACCTGCTACCTGCTACCTGCTACCTGCTACCTGCTACCCGCTACCCGCTACCCGCTACCCGCTACCCGCTACCCGCTACCCGCTACCCGCTACCCGCTACCCGCTACCCGCTACCCGCTACCCGCTACGCTACCCGCTACCCGCTACCCGCTGCCCGCTGCCCGCTGCCGGCTGCCCGCAGCCCGCTCCCCGCTCCCCGCTACCCGCTACCCGCTACCCGCTACCCGCTACCGGCTACCGGATACCGGCTACCGGCTACCGGCTACCGGCTACCGGCTACCTGCTACCTGCTACCTGCTACCTGCTACCTGCTACCTGCTACCTGCTACCTGCTACCTGCTACCTGCCACCTGCTACCTGCTACCTGCTACCTGCTACCTGCTACCTGCTACCTGCTACCTGCTACCTGCTACCTGCTACCTGCTACCTGCTATATACCTGCTACCTGCTACCTGCTACTACTACTACTACTACTACTACTACTACTACTACTACTACTACTACTACTACTACTAGTTCTAGTTCTAGTTCTAGTTCTAGTTCTACTACTACTACTACTAGTTCTAGTTCTAGTTCTAGTTCTAGTTCTAGTTCTAGTTCTAGTTCTAGTTCTAGTTCTAGTTCTAGTTCTAGTTCTAGTTCTAGTTCTAGTTCTAGTTCTAGTTCTAGTTCTAGTTCTAGTTCTAGTTCTAGTTCTAGTTCTAGTTCTAGTTCTAGTTCTAGTTCTAGTTCTAGTTCTAGTTCTAGTTCTAGTTCTAGTTCTAGTTCTAGTTCTAGTTCTAGTTCTAGTTCTAGTTCTAGTTCTAGTTCTAGTTCTAGTTCTAGTTCTAGTGTAGTCTAGTTCTAGTTCTAGTTCTAGTTCTAGTTCTAGTTCTAGTTCTAGTTCTAGTTCTAGTTCTAGTTCTAGTTCTAGTTCTAGTTCTAGTTCTAGTTCTAGTTCTAGTTCTAGTTCTAGTTCTAGTTCTAGTTCTAGTTCTAGTTCCAGTTCCAGTTCCAGTTCCAGTTCCAGTTCCAGTTCCAGTTCCAGTTCCAGTTCCAGTTCCAGTTCCAGTTCTAGTTCTAGTTCTAGTTCTAGTTCTAGTTCTAGTTCTAGTTCTAGTTCTAGTTCTAGTTCTAGTTCTAGATCTACTACTACTACTACTACGACTACTACTACTACTACTACTTCTTCTGCTTCCTCTTCCTGCTGCTGCCATGTGCAACCACCACTGCCTATGCTGCTACTGGCTCTACAACGCTACCTCGTGGCGAAGATGAAAACGATGACGACAACAAATGGATTCGTACTCCAAAGACACGAAAACGTTGGCTGCAGCTGATCTTGAGTAATGACTGATCATGAATACTTATCATGGTGGCTCTGCGATTCACGCCATCACATCATCCTAAAGCCGAAATGATCAACTCAACGCACAAATTTACTAAACGCTGCACCTCATGCCCTAGCGCTGAACCCTGCTGCAATTACTGCTACCCCTACAGTAACCCTCATATGATCCCGATGAAACACCTCCAGAACCTGGCCTTCCCCTTCGGAACCCCTGCCGCAACGTGGAGGACGCCGGCCATGAGGCCCAGAAGCAGGGCCTCCAACTCGCAACTTGTGGAAATCAAGGGGCCTGGATATTTAGAACAGACTTGTGGAGGTATGATGCTACAGCTGCAAAAGGAACCTAAGGAATCTTGTTGGCAATACCTGATCAGGTCCCTATGATAGCTGGCATTTTGGTTTTCGTAGGCAACCCTGAACACCTTTAAGGGGCCCTTGTAAGCTGTCTTGGAATACCGCCAAGGACCTTAACACAACATCACTTAAACCTGTGATCTGAAAACCGATGACTTCAAGCGCCGGCTGTCCGCCTGCAAAGTGCGCGAGGAGGGAGCCGGCATTGCCATGGCTTCCTTGGTAACAACGGCTTTCTATGGCCATAGAAGGATTCAAAGGGTTTACGGGCTTTCTAAAGGGTTGTGTGGGCTTTTACCGGGTCTTTACCGTGAGGGCATGAATAGCGTGGGCCCCCCAAACAATTGAAGTGACTCAATAATGGTTATTTTTCCGGGGCGGGCTGCGGAAAAGTCTGGGGAAGGGTGTTAGCAATAGTAAGATCAAACTTCACGGAATGAAGCACAAGCAACAGCAATAGTAGGTTAGCAACTTTTCTGTAATAGTACTAGTAATAGTAATTTTTCCCTCTCGCACGGCAGGAAGCGATGTCCACAGGCGAGGTTAGACAGGGGCAGATCGATATCATGCAACTTGACCTTTCCGGTGTGATAGTAATTTACAAGGCTGGTTTGGGTATAGTTGGGCCAACCCAAAGCTCTCAGTGCTCCAATACCCAGAAAACAGCTACGAGCTGGAACTTCGGGTTTGGGGCCCGAAAACTTGTCATTATAGGGTTCCCGTAAAGGTCGCTGAACAAGGCCGGGCAAACTTTTATGTGCAGGGCCCTACCCCAACATAAATCAGGGGTTCAGATTGTATCGGGCTTCTGAAATCTTGAGTTTAGCGTTTTATGGAATTGCTCAGGGTTTCAAAAGCTCTCTCTCTCTCTCTCTCTCTCTTATTCTGCCGGGCATGAGGGGCTGTTTAGACCCCTCGGCCACTAGGGCCCCCCCATGTTTTGATCTCTTTCTTTCGCCAGGCTGGAGGAGCCCTCACCCAGAGGGCCGTCCGTGGTTGTCTGCGCGCACGGTATTACGTGCGAAAGACTAGAGGTAGCAACCTCGTGCGGACGAGTGTTTCGCCCCGGAGTGCCCCCAAAACAGCATATTATAGCGACTGTCTGATTACCCCACACGAGCAGAAGCATTCATGGGCACTCCACCTGAGGTTGGCTGGCTGTACTAGGTATACAAACTTGGCCCCTCGCCCCGGGTAAAGTTCAAGTTGACAGTAGTAACATCCCTTGAGTGATCACAGTGGGGCCTGGGGCTCTGCTAGGCTACACTCCGGAGTTCGCCCCTGTCTGGGAAACAACCTTGGGCCTGGAGGACTCATGCAGTATCACAATGCGGGGCCATCCAGCTTTAGGCTTCGAGGGCTGTACGAGGGGGTCAGTTCCGGAGGCTCAGCATCTACAGTAGCACCTTTAAGCCCGACTAGGAAGCAGCAGCAAAGCCTGGGGCCCATACAAGTACACCAAAATGGGGGTTCTACTTCACATGACAGGGCTCTTTGGTGCTCTCTCGCTCCGACACAGCCTCGGAGCTTCAGTCACTAGTATCCGGGTCTGGCCAGCTCACAGGTGTGGGGCGGTCAGTAGGGCTGTAGATACTCTTCGTCGCCCCTCTGGTCGCTCATAGTCTGCCATGGCTTCCACTTCTGCCTCCTCTCTGGCCGCCTCGGCCTGTGTCGCTTCGCCCCCGTAGTCGGGGCTCGCCCCCGCAGCCATTTCTTGGTATGTCTGCGCCCCGAAGTCCGGGGACGGCCCTGGCTCCCACTGCTGCGCCAGGATCACGGTGGCTTCGTCGTCGCTAAGGTCGTGGTCTGCCTCCTGTCGTGCCTTGTCCTCCTCGAACTGCTGCTGGAAGTCGAAGTCTCGTTGTGCTTCTCGTTCTTCGTCGCCAGGGTCTTCATGGGAGTCCAGTTGAGTGTTGGCTTGGAGCTGGCCGGTTCATGACGCCCCGGTCTCTGCATGAGGCTGTGCTGGTCTGCTGTGTCTGTGGTGGTGGTAGTGGTTGTGGTGGGGGGTGGTGAGAGACGATTGCCCAAAGGTCGCCCATCCTGAAGGATGCCCAGCAGTCCTGTCTGTGGTGGTGTAGGGCTGACTGTTGGTGGTTCTGGTGGGGGGCGGTCCGCTGCAGCTTGGCTTCTGCGAAGTGTTCTACCGTCTCCATCTCTCTCTCTCTCTCTCTCTCTCTCTCTAGGGTCTATGGCGCTGTAATTCACAGGGCTTCAGGAATCTGGGGGGCCGTACGTATGGGTCAGAATACCAGAAACATCCTGGAACTTGATTTGGGACCCACAATCATTTCCGAGCCCACATGCCGTCAAATGCGGGCATGCAAAGACTGTAAAGACCCGACATTCTGGTCTTGAGGACTGGGACTCACTCTTATGCTAAGAAAGCCGAAATCCTAAACACAAATGTACAAAACCCCTTTGTCAAATCTTTTGGGCCAAATTCAGCCCAAATTGGGATTTCCACGATTTTCACGCAAGGCACAAAACCCGCCTGCAGACGTAGCTAATTACTCTCCTTCACAGACATATGCCCCAGGCCGCCAGCTTGAAATCGACTATAGACGGTGCTCCCCAGTCTACAGCGGAATAGCCAGTGACACCAATTCCAGACAACTCGTGTAAATCTTGTGCGAGAACTCCAAAGGAAAGCCACCTTGGAATGACTATGAAATCAATCCTAGCCGTGGTGCGGCAAGGCAAATCTGCAAGACTGCCACGCCGAGTAGGCACACGCCAGGCCCCAGCAGCGCGAGGGGCTGGGGCACCTTCCACGTAGGGTGTCATCCATGCCAAAACCCTCAAAATCTGAAACCTTTAAGCACTCATCGAAGGCCCCATGGCCCAATACTTCTAACTCTAAATTCAACACAAGCCTGTAGGGCCCCGAACCCTGGGTTTTTGCGATTGGGGTTTTAGGCTGTACTTCGGGTTTAAGGGATTTGCTGTTTCAGCGTCTTGGGATTTTCGTGAATTCTGGGTTTACGTCTCTTACGATTGCTGTTCAAGGCAAGCTCAAAAAGAGCGAAGCTTACATGGGTCCGGTCAATACTTTCTGCACAAGAACGTGTCTGAGTATAGCAGTCATTAGACTCCCAGCACAAGAAAGCACAGAAGAAGAGACGCCAATTCCAGGGTATCCTTTTATACGTTTGTTTCTGTTGCTCCTCGCTCTATGAATGTGCAGCGATTCCCCTTTTAGGCTGTACCGTCTTCCTCGTCAGGGCCCACAGGACAGAGCGGAATTTAAGGGCCTCGATGATTGATAGCTATATTCAAGAACCCCTAAGAAACTTTCGATGGTGCTTCTGGGCCCTTATATCGCTGCCCTTTGCAGCCCCTTCGCCAGCTGACCCCTTAAACCCTAAACCCGCGGTGGCTTCTGGACCCATGCAATTGGAACTCTCTCTGTCCGACTACCCCGGATCGTCACCGGCTTGCGTCCTCCAGCTATAGACCTGCGAAAGCCTGAAGGACTTAGGACTCTGTCAAACCTTAAAATCCTGAAAACCCTATGAATCTCAGTTGGGGTGAGACTCAAGACTCCTCAAGCGAAGCTTTTCGGGTTTAGGATTCGCAAATTTCAGGGCCCATCATCAACCCCTCGGAAATCTAAAGTACGGTCTACGTCCCCAGCACCCATAATCCCCCACCACACACCCTCACTAAAACTTGATCTGGCAAATGCTGCGAAGTGGTACTCATTGGATGGCCAAGCCCTCTGGTTGCTAACCCCTTTTTGCCACTGGGCTTGAGGACTAACCAGATATACCCTGACCCTAAAACTGTGAAACCCTGAAGCCGAAAATCTTGCAACCCCAACACCCCTGAATTGCGCCTTTGACACCCCCACAACCCTTACAGGTACCCGTAAGGAATCCTTTCAAAGGCGACCTCTGAAATGAACCTTGAATGAACGTTCCCAACCCTAGACCCCAAGCCCGAACTGCTAACTGCTAACCTACACCCTAAACTCCACTCTTCGCCAAGCCCAACACCGTCTAAACCCTAAACCCTCAACCCATAAGCCTGAACCCTAGACGAACCCTAAAGCCCCAAAGGTACCTCCTCGAGCAGATAAGGGCTGCCCACATTCAGCGCCACCAGGCATAGGCCGCAGAGGAAGATGAACCTTTGGAGTTTAGAGCTTGAGGTTTGGGTTTTCTTTACCGTCCCTTGTGGGGGTCTAGGATTTTGAGGGTTTAGAGCTTCGAGTTTAGGGTTCAGGTGGTTCAGGGTTTGGAGCTTAAAGGCTTAGGGTTTAAGGGCTCAGGGCTTGGGGTTTAGGGCTGAGCGTTTTGCTTTTTTTACAAAGTGTCGGCTTTCTTTCCCACAGACCCGCCACTGGGGTTTCAGGGGCCTGGGGCTTACCATCTGGGAGTTTGGACTTGGAGGATCATGGGACTCAGTAAGTAAGGCGACAAGTACCTTAATTGGTAAGTGTACAGCCAACCTTATGTCTAACCTGAACTACTAAACCCCATGAACCTGAAAGTGGGGTTTGAGGTGGCTGAGGGCTTCGACGCTCACACTCGAAAGAAGGCATGGCTGAGGGCTTAGGGTTTGAAAGTTCTGAGGGTTCAAGAGCTTACGATTTAGAATTCTGAATGGTTTTTTTTTTTTAACCCTGAATGGTTTAAGGTTTGGGGCTTCGGCTAAACATGGAACCCCCGCACTTTTCCAAAACAAGCTCTTATACGGCCAATAGACAGGCGATTTTAAGGTTGTAGCAAGCCTTCCAAGCCTGTTCTGTGCTTCAGGGTTGGAACCAGCGGATGCTTGATGCTTTGTGGTTGTGAGTAGCGGCTTTCGGGGTGCAGGGTTTGGGGTATACAGCTGTTGAGTTCGGGCTTACTGTCGCGAACCGCAAAGAGCCGAAGGGTTTCTAGCATCTGTAGCATGGGAGATATAGGATATCTTCGGGTACATAGGATAATATACGATATATAGGAAAACAGGATGCCTTTGTTTCGTAGATGGCAAGAGGCATATACCCGCACTCCACGTGGACCGCCTCGGAAATCCAAACCCGGAACCCAAGCCCCTAGACCCTAAATCGTATATCCTAAACCCTCGGCCACGATCTGGGTAAACTTTCAAAGGTCTCCCACCTTGCATGCACGGGTCCTGTGTAACAAAGCCTGAACTCCAGGCCCCGCGGCCTCAACTGTTGACTCGCAAAACACCACCGGGGCCCTGTACAAAGTAGACAACACCCATCCCAAAGCCAGTCGAAGAGCTAACTTAACCAATTCAGACCGGTTGGGAATCTACAAAACTTGATGAAAAACCTTGAAGACCTATCAAAACCAAACTAAGCACCATACAACCTGTTAACAACCCATATGAAGACTTCTTAGGCCACATGCGAACCTTTCACTGTGAAAGAAAAACCAAAGATAAACCCCGGGACCTGGAGGCCAGCGCACTCTGCCACAGGCTCCCCAATGACGCCGGCAGGTCCAACCTTTGGGGGGGTGCTTTGTGTGTGGGGGGGGGGGGGGGGGGGTTGTCAGGTGTTTCCAGATCTTGTCGGGTTCTTTTTCAGGTGCTGCAAGCCTTTTTTGGGGGGTGCCTAATTAGGTTTCAGCGAGTTCTGATGGGGCCTTATGGAGTCGCACATGGGGTTTACCAGTCTATTCTTTAGTCGAATTCTGCGTCTCAGGATTAGGAGTCTAGGGACCTGAGATGAAACCCGACCAAGTAATGTCGGAGCCGCTCGCAGCTAAAAGTAGCACAAGCTTCGGGGGTAATTCGTGTATAGTTATGTAGAGGAACCCTAACAAATATTATTGCCTCTTCGTTACCTAAACCCTAAACCACCCGGCGGTCCGCTTCGCGGGCCGTCGCAGAACCCGAACCCACCAAGCAGGGCTTGGTTTCCTGTGTTATGATTGGGTCCTGCTTTTCTACCAGTCGCAACTTATCCCAACCCTGCCCTCGACGCAACTGACACAGTAGCATCTAAGCTCAACCAGGAAGACACCATGTCAGTAAAGCCACGGAAGCACGACAAAACAAGGAAGCCCGGAATGACTTCACGCTAAACCCTGAACCCTCTGTGAATCCAGAACTACACCCTAGCTGAAACCACAAAGTCTTCAACTCAGAATCACAGACCCCCAATGCTAAACCTGTTTTGCGTCCAGACGGCTGCTGCCTCTGGACCCCAACCCCTGGAACCCTGAACCCTGAAACCCTCGACCCAAAAGCCCACTACCGGTTGTCGATTGCAGATCGGCAGCAAGGCAAGGCCGCAGGCAAGCAGGACCTGGAGGCAACCCTCTGACGCTCACAGGGTTTACGGTTGTATATCCGGCTTAGGGTTTAGGGCAGTTCAGGGTTCATGGGGTTTGGGATTGTAAAGGTTTAGGGTTTAAGGTTCAGGGCACAGGGTAATTCAGACCGCTGATTAACAACACCGCCTGCCTTATAGGGATTATCGTGGGGAACCTGCCGTCAGGACCCTTAAAGAAAGTGGGTTCTTTACCTCAAGAACTCTACAGCATGGTAGAGATTCCAAGTTGAAGCGGCCTCTTGGCTTTCATAATCCGATTTCTAAAGTCCGAGTGCAATTATTCAGGCACCGATCCCCAAAAATGTAAAGAAAAGGAGTTAGACTGTCGAGTTCAAGGTTTGCGGGCGTAGGGTTCAAAGATTTAAGGTTTCGGGCTTTCGCACCGGCGACGATTCCCGGGCTTCAGGGTTTGCTGTCATGGGCTCAAACGTCCTCTCCACCTGCAGCCCTCTCCTCAAACTGCAGAACGAACGAGGCCTTGTCTCAGGCAACCACTGTCACCTTCACGATCCTCTCCCTTCCCCTATCCCTCTCTTCTTCGACAGGGCATAAGGGGCGTGTCAAGCCCCTTGGCCACCTAGGCCCCTCGCTGTTATGGGGCTTTGAAGGGCAGTGATACGATCGATGTTTCCACGAAGCAAGCATTGTGATATGCCTCTCTCTCTCACACGGTCGCCCTCGCTCGTGCACTCTGTCTCTGTCTCTCTCTCTCTCTCTCTCTCTCTCTCTCTGTCTTGCCCTCTCTGTATCTTTGTCTTCCGCGCACACCACAGCTTGAATGCCGTGCAATGTGCTGTCACAAGTACGGCATCATATTAATCCTCGTCATCGCCACCTTGGTCATGATCAGCTTCACCACTCGATGGCATTATCATTACCATCGCCACTATGACTGTGCTGACCTTTCCAACGGTTCTTGGCCTATTCGCACAACTGGTTTGCAGAAAAATAAACATCGTCTTTGTTGCCAGTGCCATCCTCGTCATCGCATCTCCTGTGTTAGCAGCAGCAGCGGGAACATGATACTTGTCTTCCGCAGCGGCAGGGAGCATATGCAAAATGCTTGTGATCCTGCAAGGTTCGTGTCCCTAGCTCCTGCAACGGCACCCTTTTTCATGCCCATCTCAACAGGATATCCACAGTCCACAGTCGGAACCTTTGCCGCGATGCCATCGGTGGCTTCCCCTAAAGGCCTTTAGAAGGGAGACTTCTCGGAGAGGCTAACCACCAGAAGATGCGAGAGTAACAGTGTACGCTCAGCCGCAACCGTAAACCCAACGCTCCAAACCCTATTGGGCACCGCGACGCAATCTCTAAACACTAAACGAAACCGTGCAAGGCCCTGTACCGCAACCTCCCCACGTCCGGAAGCCTGTCAGCCTCCACCAACCCCGGAGATCTTGCAACAGATCTCCTAAGCCCGAAAGCTGCAACAAAAGCCGTCGCGTCTAAAGTTTAGACCGCATTCCTTGTTCAGTGTACTGATACTGACATTCAACTGCGACTTCTTCCCACAAAGAGGGTAACATGTGCATACATGTATATATATATATATACACATCTATATATATATATATATATATATCGGAAGTCTCCCTTTTGAGGGCCTTGTGAGGTGTGAGATTTGGCCGACGGAGAAAAGCGCCGGACGAGCAGACGAGAAGCTAATGGCTTTCAGTAGTCAGAATTGGCTTTTTGGAGTATGGCCTAGGGCTTTCGCGTGACATAGGGCTGTTGGTTTAATGGTTCTGTCATAGGGCTGCTTGGAGGGTCTTACCACAGATAACCTTCGTCTTTTTGAATGGGTTTCGCAAGTAGGCTCCTCCGGGCGGATAATGTGATCTCTGATATCAAGAGACCCCGCGCTAAAACCCTAGTCGTAGCAGTGGCAACATCAACCACATATTCATAATAGCAGCAGTAGTCCCTATCACTACTAGGGTTTAGGGTTTAGGGCTTAGTTAGTCTAAACAGTGTTAGTATAATCATAATCCCTGTGCCCTAAACCTCAACTCTGACACCCCAGGCGTCACGGCTGCTGAGGGCTGCCGGCTAAGGCTTTTGGGGGCCACTCCTCAAGAGCCGGATATGCAGTTCATAAGGGCTTTGCCTTTAGGATCTAGGGTTTAGGGTCTGGGTTTCAGGGTTTAGGGTTTCAGGGTTTGGGATTCGCAACTTTGACAGGATTTCGAGGCACGGGCAGGGTTTTCAAGGAATTTCTTTGGGTTTACCGGGGCTTCACAGGGCTTATGACGATTCACACATGTCTACATGTACCTACTCTACTGACTGCCCATGGGGTTAAAGCCCTACATGAGTATGAAACTGTCCCAACCCGTTGTTCTATCCGGTCGAAGGTACAGGTACCTACGGACTGCTCATGGGGTTAAAACCCTACATGAGTATGAAACTGTCCCAACCTGTTGTTCTATCCGGTCGAAGGTTTCAGGAGCAAGCTTTGGGGATTAGGATGTTGTGCTACGGGTCTAGGGCGTTCTGGGCTCAGGTGTATCTATATGTATATGTGTGTATATATATATATATGTGTGTGTGTGCGTACCATGAATATGTGTATATATATATATATACATATATATTTTTATGTGTGTGTGTGTTTGTGTGTATGGAAGCCACCGACTTCAGAGGCCCTGGGCCTTTAGCTCCCTACTGCCGAGCAATGAAAACCAATATACCCGATAGCCGGTGTTTACGCTTCCTCAAACTGTAGCAATTCTCTCGGCCCTAAATCCTAAATTAAACCGCCGCTAAAGTTCATGAGACGGATTCTGTAGCTCAAAGATTCGGTAAGAGCGGCGGCTCAGAGCTGGGATCGGGCTGGGGCTTGATTGGGCTTTGCGTTTGGGTGCTTCTCGATTTGTTGGGTTTATGGTTTAGGAAGCTCGGTTCAGGGCGGAGTATACAACCGTGCAGTTACATAGGGACTATATGGGGACAGTTTCAATGCATACTCAACCTTGCACATTCGCGTCTAGTCTAGGGCTGCGGATTTACCAAAGCCGTTTCAGTTTCGATTCGAGCAGCGTTTGGGTTGTTATAGTGAACCGACACACAGCATACAAAGACTGTCAAGCAACAAGGGCGCCCAAGATTGAAGCCCTCATGCTGAAAACTGCGCTGCTCAGACAGGAAGTAATCGAAGAGTCTTGAAACTAAAAGGTCCCATATCAAGACTGGCGCAGTGTGCTTCCTGCAAGCATCCTGCTTGTGAATTCTGCGTTGCTGTGCCGGACCCTACACCTCACAACCTCTCCAGCCTAAACCCTTCTGCAAAAAAGTCCCTGTCCTGCACCCGCTACGTAACGCCCGTTCTGACTAGGCCGCTAGCGTTCTCATGCTCCTTTTGTACACTCCGGCGTTCAGTGCTGCTGGTTGCCACACGGTGTATGACAATGATTGCAGCGGATCAAAGTCATCGTCTCTACGTTTACTGCAGCGACAAGGCTCCATTGGAAGGTTTTGCAGCTCTGGGAACCACCTGAGGCGAGAAGTCTTGAACCGAAACGTTAAACCCTAAACCTCAAACCAAGGCCATAAAGTTCAGGTTTAGGGCTTGGGACAGGCTGCAGCTCTGTCTTTGCTCGTGTAAGGCCCTCGGGTGGGGTCGCATCAATCTGGAATCTGGCAACTACTGCTTCGAGGAATCAGGACCATGCTTCGGCCACCAGTTACGGTATGTGGGAACTTCAGAGAAGGAGGTGTCCTGTATGTAGAACGGCATGGACCAGCATCTTTAGTATACTATGCTCTTACCGTAAGACCTGAGAACCGAGGGCTGCCTGGTCCGAAACGCCAAACCTGGAAGTTAGAACCCCAAGCCCCCGACCCCGAAACTTCTAAAACTTAAACCCCAAGCCTACGAACAAGTCCTGCTGGCCCTGAGACCCGAACACGCGCCAGCTCAACCCATTATGCAAAACCTCTCACAAAAACGCGTGCAAACCGAATCTCAGAATCCTCAATTCACCACCAAAAAAATCTTAGACGAGACTAGACCTCATGAAAGCAAGGCTTACATCTAGCCTGGAGAAGTTCGACGGATTGTAGTCGACGTCGTCCTTCGCCATCCTGAATCCCGACTCGTCGTTTCTGACTTTGGCTTCTTGCTCTCAGAGTATAGGACTTAGTCTTGAGCGTTTAAGGTTGCAAGCATAAGCTATATAATCTCGGGTGTGGGGTTTAGGTTGTGGGTCTGGGCGGGTGTGCTGTTTTGGATCTGAGGACCAGGCGGTGTTCGGGCTCAGGGCTTGGGGCTGGGATTTTGGATTTGGGTTTGGGGTTTCGGGTGTTGTCGGAGGTCTCTCTGTGTCTGTTTCTGTCTAGCTCTCTCCCTTTCTGCCCCTCCCTTTCTATCTGCCAAAATATGGATCTAGACTTGGATATGAACATAGATATGGTAGATTTCGATAGACATGTGGACGTAAGTAAAATATGCCTAGCTTTGAGTACGTTATACGAAACTGCAATATAGGCAAAAGATACATCCTTGACTCCGCAGCTCTAAACCCACGGCCCTCAACAATGCCAGGAAGCATGTGCATAATGATGCCATACCTCAGAGCAGGCGAGCAGCTTCAGCGCTGCGGCCGCTGTGCAGTCTTTGAGGATTATATACTGCTTTGGGGCTTAAGGTCGGGGGCGGCTAAGAGTTCAAGGGTGTCCCTGTTCGCATTGTATGCCGCATGCGCTGAAACCTGCCAGACCCCAAACCCCGAACTTTGTTCAAGCTCATGACCCCAAACCCCGTACCCCGTAAGAGCTCGGAGACAGTCAACCAACATACCATAGAGGCCTTAACAATGAGGACAACGATAGAAAGATTAGGGGACACATTTCCACTGGCTCAGACGCCAGTATTCAAGCTTAAAACCCTAAACCACCCTAAAACACCTAAACCCTTAACCCTTAACCCTAAAACACATAATCATAAACCCTAAAACACCTAAACCCTAAAC